ACCCACAGACATACACACACATACACATATGCCCAGATTAAGTAATATAGTACCAAGCCCCCTTCGATCTAACATGGTCTGTGAACCAAAGAAAAGGCTGTTTATGCAACCCAGCTGCTTGGGCCTCCGTTTGGCATGTGGGCATGTGGGGTGGTGCGAAAGGAGTCGTATCTGCCAAATCTTTTCGTGTTTGAAAGTCAGCCCCGTCTGCGTTTTGAAAAGATGCGGCAGGCTGTTGCCAAGCCTTTTTGCTTACTTTATGTTAGCCAATGTTTCGTGCTAATATTTATGTGTTCAATCACATGTAAGAAAGGACTACTAGTAAAATGATGATCGAAAAAGACTTGGGGCTGCAAGTGTGTAGTAAGCTTTTTTTTTGTGGGCCATGGCCATGTGAAGGGGTCATAAGGTAGGTAGGTAGGTGGGTGGGTGTGGCTCGTCGTGGGGGCTACGCCAAACGGTCATCTTGCACGTACAAAGGTGGGCTTGATGCACGATGACTGTGGCATCGAGATTATGCCGGTTTGTTTCTTTCAACAGCATACTATATTCCCTCCATCTAGCTTGATATCTGTCCGTTGTTCTTGCGTAGAGCGCTTGCATGCAGATCCCCAGAAAAAGCACAGTGTGCGGCGTGCTTGGAGGGTGTAGTGGGAGCCAACCACAACAAAGAGCCACGGCGCCTTGGTAGGAACCAGTGGGAGAGCTCCAGCTTCCAGCTCCCTAGTCAACTGTACCACAAGCACCCACATCCACATTTGCATTTGCTTTCATGGTACAACATGTCGTATCATATTACTTTTCTAATATACAAAGTCATCCATCTTTTCAGCATTATATCCAATTCGTCAAGACAACTTGTCCTCCCTGCAACATGCGGCAGCCTCGTCTAGAGCAATCGCCGTATACAAAGCCACCAACGCCAACACACTGTTGCGCCATGTCATGCATGCGCATGCCTTGTTGGCATGCTACCACACTCGTATAGCATCAATATCCCAAGCATTTTATATCCTAGGTGCTCGAGGTATCTAGGCCTTGGGCTTGGCCTTGGGAGTGCCGCTGCGGACGCGTTTCGCTTCGGGCCGCTGGAGGTGCGAGGCGGGAATCCAGCTCTCGTCATAGGCCTTGGCACCAGACGTGACAGCGGGACCATCGGCACCGACAACTGCAACCTGGTCGGCAGGGTCGACCTTCTTGCTCTGGCCCGAAGACATCCTGGCGCGCTCACCACCCTTGCCGTGGCCCTTCTTCTGAGGGAAGAAAGTGCTGATCCAGGTGTTGTAGATGAAGTAGACGGTTCCGCCAAAGGCACCAAGGACGACAAGGTAAAGGAAGAGGCTAGAGGTGCAAGTTAGTTATGGCACAATTATGAGATCATGGCAGATATGCGGGGAACGTACATTTGAGGATCAAAGAAGCTGTTGGGGGCCTCGACAACGCTGACAGTCTCGTTGTAAGCAGGAACGGTGAACACGGTATTGTTGGCGCCCTTCAACACGGTAATGAGTTCCAAGCGTAGGTTCTGGGGGTGCATGTCAAGAGTGAAGCTGTAAGGAACAGTCTCCTCGGCGCCAGCGGGAATCTCGATCGAGTAGCGCTTCGAAGTAAGGTTGCGGACGATTTGGGATTTGCCAGCGACCTCAGAGACGAGCGAGCCACCAACAACGGAAACGCCAATGGGCGTAGGCTCATTGTTGGTGACGGAAAGACGCGCCTCGGTGGCATGGCCGTTGACGAGCTTCACGCCAAAAATTTCAGATTGGGGGAATGAGACGGAGACGGCGACATTAAGGTTGGGCGTCTGCGGCTCCTTGACTTGCTCTTGGACCTTTTCAGCCTGAGAATTGGTGGTTAGCCATCTGATGTCATGTGTCGTCACAACATATCAAACTCACATCAGCTGCGGCAAAGGCACCAAGTGCGCGCAAGGAGAGCAGGAGCAGAGTAGAGGATCGCCAATTGACCATGATGGAGACGCTGCAAAAGGATGGGATGGTAAGAATAGAGAAGAGGGGCGTGGGAAGAGAGATGGTGGAATTCGAACGTGGCTTCTGGCGAGTGACGTCCGGGCGCCGTTGGGTCTTGGCGAACGTAACGACAGCCGCGGCAGCGGAAAGCCGACGTCAGGTAGTTGGCTGACATGAGCAACAACAGCCGCCAACCCCCATGTCTCTTAGCACACACGCGACATCTTTCTCTCTTCGCTTCTGACACGATGTTTTGCAAATAGCGACACAACATGACAAATCTGCCTTGCTGCGTTGCCGCCTTGCAAATATAGCCTCTTTGCACATGTCTAAGCGCCGAAACGCAAGGGATAGACTGACCACGCCACCTATTCCTGCCAATGCAACGCTTACCAACGGCGGCTATTCGCCTGCGGCTTCATGCGCCTAGTGGTTGCGTTTGTCCCTAACGACACCGACATGGACTGTACATACATAGACAAATGCCTTTCTGCCGGTAGCTTGCATTGCATCTTGGTTACACCCTCCAGGGGTATACTAATCGTCAACCGTTTTTCGTTTTCCGTTGTCTGTTTCTATTGCTTGTCCCTCAATACCGTGCCTGGCATTTGCTCCCCAATACTGTTTCCCGTTTCTCGTTTTTTCTGTTTTCTATTTTCTGTTTTCACTCTTCTGTATTCTCAATCTCGTCTTCATTGCCACTAGAAGCGTCTATAAAGCTCTGCCCCTCACCCGCGTTTGCACCTGCCCATCTTTCACTTCCCCGTGAACCGTGGAAAGAACGTTCGGCTGCCTGTCCCACGTTGCCTTGTTACACTCTACCTCACTTTCTCGCCTTGACACGCGCAGCAGCCTCGCACAACAAACTTTCTCCCTCCCCGTTGCAATAAATACACACCTCCTTCTATCGCCTGCGCCTCTCACCCCACCATCTCAGCATGGCGCTCTCACTCGATGCCCACAATGGCATCATTTCTCCCTCGACGATTCAGACTGATAACGATCTAGACATGCTCAGTAAGCGCTTCGAGCAGCTTAACCAATTAGAAGAGGAGAAGAACAAATTCATGACGGCATGTCTCCAAGAAAATTGTTCTGCAACCAGCCTGACTTGTTGATAGGAACTCCTCGTCCGCTACGAATATGTTGTTCAACAGAACCAGGCCATGCTTGCCGAACGTAACCGCGATCGCGAGTGGATCTTTCAATGTTTAGCTGAAAAGCAACACTACGAGAGACTTGCGGGCAACATACAGCAGGCAGTGGTGAGTCAGCCCGAGGCAATAGCATGAAAGTAGTGTATCTGCAAATCATGATAGCACAAGACTAACATGCTAGTATCAGGTGGACAACTCCTTTGTTGTCGTGCTCATCGATGGCGATGATATGATGGTAAGTCCTTTAGTCGAAAACCTATATCTACTTTGCTGATCAAGCCACCAGTTCCTCGATGAGTTTGTACGCGAAGGTGCAAACGGTGGTCGCCGCGCCGCCTCGAAGCTGCACACCGCCGTCCAAAACTATATGCAAGACCAGAGCGAAAACACCGGCAACCCCACCCCGCTCGGGGTGCGCATTGTTTGTCGGATTTACGCCAATGTCAAAGGCATCGCTGAAGAGCTTGTGCGCACAAGTGTCATCCCTGACGTTACATATTTCGAAGAATTTGTGCGTGGATTCACAACGGGCAAGACATTGTTCGATGTTGTCGACGTAGGGGTACATAATGATTGCAGCAACGAGAAGATCGTTGGTGAGTATACTGAGTGTACGTCTCGTAGCAATTCAAGATGCTGACAAGACGTAGAGTCTTTCAAACTCTACTTTCGAGATTACCATTGCTGTCGTTTATTCTTCGGTTGCTCCTACAACGAGGGATATACACATCTTCTTGAAGAACACTCTAATCAAGAGGGTTTGCGGGACAAGGTGGTACTCGTTGGAGGCCCTCTTTTTGACAAAGACCTTGTTTCGCTACCATACAAGGCGAAGAGGCTTTCCGGCATCTTTCGTGAGCCCAAGTACGCATCATGGGGGGCTGGGCCTGTTTTGGGAGCCCTTTCGCCAGCTTTTGTCCCTGCTGCAAATGGAGCCGAAACAAAGGGTAGCCCAAACAGCTTCGTCACACCAACCGGTCTTCCATTTCGGTTTCCAGCGCCTGCACCTACACGGCCACTGAGCAGTTCATCGGTCTGGGAAAGCCCCCTCCCAAAAGGCGCCGTGTTGAGCCATATGGCCAGAACCCCATCGACTTCAACCTTGGGTTCTGATGGTCTGCCCGTACAGAGACCTATTGCAGCGCCTATGAACTACGCCGCTAAAGCTGCGGCTCCTCCACCCCCAAATTCCAAGTCGCCCACCTACAGGCCTGTCAGTCGCGAAGAAATCATTGCCCGCAACCGCGCAGGTCAGCGTGTCGACCCACCCTGCAAGGACTATGACAAATCCGAGGTTGACCGCGTCAAGAAGATGAAACTGTGCAACATCCACTTTCTCCGCAAGGAATGTCCATATGGAGATTCTTGTACGCATCTTCACGCATACAAGCCCACGGAAAGCGAGATTGCCACACTTCGTCTGGTAGCGCGCATGGCGCCCTGCGCACATGGTAGTATCTGCCAGGACATCAAGTGCATCTACGGCCACCGGTGCCCTGCGCCTCGGCATAAGATCAACCACGCCAAGGGTACCAAGAATTGTATTTTCGGCGACTCGTGCAAGTTCTCGGGCGACTTGCATGACATCGACACGACTATTGTGAAGACTCTAGTCATACGCTAAGAAGTCGTTTCGGCGTTTCTTGGCTGATGTGTGTATAAGTGGCAGACAGTGGGAGTGATCACAGTGCAGTACGGTACTTGTTATGTGGACGGATATTCCCCAATGCCCAACGATTCTCAAGATATGCTACTTTGTAAACTCTTACTTACCTGGGGATAATGTGGTTGTATAATACACGATGATAGTTCCGAGAACCATATCTAGCAACACGTGTGTTCCCACCAAACAGAAAGAAAAAAAGAAACGGTTTCACTCCTTCTTCCACTCCTCAAACTCGTCTTCCAAATGCGATTTCAGCACCGCAAACTTGTTTTTGAAATTCCGTCCGCAGCGCCAACATTTCATGTCCCAGCTCGGCCAGTCTCCCGGATGAAATCTCTCACTCCCTTGCTCGAGCGGGAACTCGTGCAATTGTACTAGAAAACTGGTGTTGAAACTAAGATAGTGCTTCTTGTGTTTCATCCACGGCGAATGCATGTCGCGACTAAACACGTGAATGTGCAGGTGATTCATTGACGGATGCGTGTGCACGCCTGTTACTATTTCTCTAGTCCAGTCGCGACCTTGTGGAAGAAGAGCGGGGCGCTTGGAGGGGGATGGTGGATCGGGACCTGACATGAGGGATTCGAGAGCGATGTTGTAGGGTGCATCTGAGGCGCTGAATTCGCCGTATTGGCGGCGGAGCTCGTTGGCTGCTAGTTCTACCAGGCGCACGGTGCGTGTTCTTACCGTGTCGAGGAAGGCGGCGTCGGTGGAGAGGGCGTGGAGGGGGTGTTGGGTGTAGTATGTGCGTTTTCGTGGGATGAGGAGGAGGTGTACGCTATACTGTGTGTTAGCACTGTATATCGATTTGGGTCTGGGAGGCATTGCTCAGGCAGACGGACCTTGCTTTTGGGTACTTGTCCGTTATTACGACGAAGTCATCGTCGTATTCTAGGATTCTTCCTTCGGGGTTTGTCTCAGGGGTTTCGATGTATACACCTAGTCCGTTGCGGGGATCCCAGCGTTTTGAGGTTTTGGCATCTTGCTTGGTGGTACTTGGGGAGTCGGTAGCGGCTATGCCACTTGGAGGTGGTTTTGGTCGCTTGGATTGCGACATAAGTTCTGTGACTGTGTTGTGAGTTGAAGTTGCTCGGTGATTTGGGTAGAATAACTCAGAAACGTACATGCATTTGGGCGCTTTTGGGGGCCTGCGTCCATGGTAGGCTGAGGTTCATTAGGCGTTTCTGTGCCATTTATCTCTTCTGCCGTGATCGCGTCGCGGGGTTGTTCCGCACTGAGGTCGTGATTGTTGTTTGTGGACATGATTGTTCGGAAGCTATCACACGGTGACTGGAAGAAGCCTGGATTCCTCTCACGTATATTCCTGTATGAGATTGAAAACAATCTGCCGAAAATGGATTGTTTAGTGATTTGGCGCAACGACATGTCGCGTTGATGAGCGATGACGATGAGGCTCACAACATGTGGCTCGAGCGTACCGAGGCATCCCTGCAACCATCGGAATTTCGGATTGCGTGCAACATCCAAGTGCCTTGCCGCCACATTCGCAATGTCTACAGCACAATCCACAACTACTTCCTCTTCGAACAAGTACGCTGATAGCTGGTGGTGGAGTTTTGGTGATTGAGCCCTTTTGCTAGCGCGAGCGCCCTTCACCACCCACGAACACACAAGATATCTTTGTCCATCGCTCCCCTTCCGAAGCGCATACATCTGTCCATGGATATTACTAGACGCTGCAACTTTTTCCTGCTCCGAAAAAATGCCAAAGAACGCACACCCGCCCCGCGGTAAACCTGCCAAGAAGTCAGTCCCGCCCGAAGAAGACACAAGCTTCATTGTGTTTGGCGACGGCAAGGCCAGAAAGAAAAAGGGCGAAAGCTCTGGCGGAGACGCAGCCCTAAACGACGGCAAAGGAAAGGGCAAGGGAGGAGCCGCTCAGCCTGAAGATGGACCGAAAAGACCAGACACTCGGACTTTAATAGCTGGCGCATCGTGGACTGGAAAATTGCCTGTCAATCTATTGTCAGAGCACTTCCAGAAGCAACAATGGGCTAAGCCAGACTATCGCATTGTACGGATATTCTTTCAAAGCAGATGCATCACAGCTGATGGTTTGTAGCGCAAGGATGGCGACAAGCATTTTGCCTATGCTGTGGTGTTGTCCAAGGTGAACCAGAAGACACGAGAGACGACGACTCTGCCGCCAATTAAGATCCCCGCCGAACTCGAGGAGCAGGCACACCAACCGACCGCTGTCGAGGCTCGCAACTTTGCGGCTGCATATACCCTTTTTCGCGTTGCCAGCGCCAAGAACCTGCACATGATGCTTCCACCCACCTACAAAGATTTGTGGAAAGGACAGTTTACGGAACTGAAAAAGAGGGATGAGCAGGATGGAAAAGGCTGGATGTACGAAGCTGACCCATTTTTCGGCTTTGCAGAAAGAGAGAAGGCTCGGGAGACAGCTGCCAAAGCGCGCGAGAAAAAGCAGAAAGAAGAGGCAGAGGCTCAGAAAGCACACAATCAGCAGCCCGGTGCGGCGATGCCTGCGTCTTCAAAGGAGTCTGCCCCAAGCAGGAATTTGATGAAGGGATGGGAACGCGTGCCAAAGATTGAGTTGGGAAAGCGCACAAGAAAAGAAGCAGAGCGTTTAATCCGCCGCGATGCCCTCTGGAATCCGAATGGTGTAGAGATGGACGCGGCTACCAAGGCTAGGTTGGTCGAGGAAATCGCTGATCTTGGGTTTCGAAAAAGTCATGTTGAAGAAGCAGCCGAAATCTGCAAAGACCGTGAGGAAATCATTGAATGGCTCCTTATTCACGTGCCGGAGGATGATCTTCCATCTTGGTCTTTGCCCGAAGGTTATGTTGCTGGTGTTAGCATGGCCAGTACAAACCTCAAGCGCGAAGGTGCTGTGAAGCGTCTAGCAGCTGCTGGATATGCTGTAGACCTATGTGAAGAAGCCTTTGATAGCCAGGGTGGTGATGAAAGAAAAGCGGCAGCTCTTTTGCAGGCTCGGCTCCTTCGACCAGAAGAGGATGACAACAGCATCTTGCAAGAACTGGCGGATCTTTCGCTGTCAGAGGGCACGTCAGAGGAACCATCTGAGGAAGATCCATGGGAAGTCGAGATGTCATCACTGGAGGCGATATACGATCGCCTCTTTTCACGGCCCACTCCAGAAGCATGCCGGATTGAATTGGACGTCAAGCAACAAGGTAAACGGCTCATTTTACAAGTCCGAAAGCCCTTTGGTCCTTATCCCGCTGTTGTACCAATAATCACATTCGAAGCTGCTATCCCAGCCTATATTCGCCTAAGCATCATCAGGCAGGCCCTCCTTCATGCAGAAGCAAATTTCATTGGCATGCCAATGGTATATGATATCGTGGACTGGATCCAAACGAATGCTGGTGACATCTTCCAAAATCCAGGGAGATTATCAGATGTCTCTTCCGGACTGGCGGCGGCGGATCATATGTCTGAACAACCAAGTCAGAAACGAAAGGCAAAGGGCAAGCCCCGTAAACCTATCGATTGGACACCGGCGACCCCTGCAAGTCAAAACGCGCTGGCTGCCTGGCAAGCTAAACAAGATACTCCTGCTCAACAAAAGATGATGGATGCTCGAAAATCGCTTCCCGCCTGGCGCTTAAGGGAAGAAATTGTGCAGACTGTCAACAGATGTAATGTCACTATCATCTCGGGTGAGACTGGTTCAGGAAAGTCGACTCAATCAGTGCAATTTGTTTTGGACGACTTGATCCAGCGGCAGCTTGGTGCCGTAGCAAACATCGTCTGCACACAACCTCGGCGAATTTCCGCTCTTGGTCTCGCTGATCGCGTTGCTGATGAGCGATGTTCTCAGGTTGGCGATGAGATTGGTTATACCATTCGTGGAGAATCGAAGCAGAAGCCTGGTACTACCAAGATCACATTCGTCACGACTGGTGTTCTTCTCAGGCGACTCCAGACCTCTGGCGGAAATGCCGATGATGTTGTTGCTTCATTGGCGGACGTGAGCCATGTTGTGGTAGATGAAGTACACGAGCGCAGTCTTGATACTGATTTTCTGCTTGTTCTGCTACGACAAATCCTACGGCAACGCAAAGATCTCAAGGTTATCCTCATGAGCGCCACACTTGATGCCGCCGTCTTCGAGGCCTATTTCAAAGAGGTAGGACCCGTCGGTCGTGTGGAGATTGAGGGACGTACCCACCCTGTAACTGACTACTACATGGACGACATTCTTCACTTTACTGGATTCAAAGGCTACGGAATGGATGAGGAAGATGATTCTGGAGATAAAGGCTTCTCTGCAAATCTCCGGAGCATTGGTTTCGGCATCAACTATGACTTGATTGCTGAGACCGTACGCTATATCGACCGTCAACTCGGATCCAAGGATGGCGGTATCTTGATATTCCTACCTGGCACAATGGAGATAGATCGCACTCTCCAAGCGCTAAGCCAATTCGCTAACTTACATGCACTGCCCCTGCATGCGTCACTTTTGCCAATTGAACAAAAACGTGTGTTCCCTCCCGCACCCCATGGCAAACGAAAGGTTATCGCATGTACCAACGTTGCTGAGACCTCCATTACAATTGAGGATATTGTTGCCGTCATCGACACAGGCAGAGTAAAAGAGACAAGCTATGACCCACAGAACAACATGGTCCGTTTGGCTGAGACGTGGGCTTCAAGGGCAGCATGCAAGCAGCGGCGTGGACGAGCAGGACGTGTGCGGGCGGGCGACTGTTACAAATTGTACACACGAAATGCTGAAGCAAAGATGATGGAGCGGCCCGATCCTGAGATTCGTCGCGTGCCACTCGAACAGATGTGTCTCTCAATCAAAGCCATGGGCGTACAGGATGTCTCTGGGTTCTTGGCTTCGGCTTTGACGCCGCCAGAGAGTACTGCAGTCGAGGGTGCTGTCCGCTTGTTATCCCAGATGGGAGCCATAACTGATAATGAGTTAACTGCTCTCGGTCGCCACATGTCCATGATTCCAGCAGATCTACGTTTGGGCAAGCTCCTAGTGTATGGAGCGACATTTGGTTGTCTTGAAGCTGCTTTGACCATTGCTTCGGTCCTGACGGCACGCAGTCCGTTCATATCACCGCGAGAGCGAGATCAAGAGACACGGAACGAGTTCGACCGCCTTCGTGCCTCATTCTCTAACAACCAAGGTGATCTCCTGGTTGATCTCCGTGCCTACGAACAATGGTCCGCACTGCGCAGCAAAGGCACCTCATCGCGCGACCTCCGCTTCTGGTGTCAAGACAACCGCCTCTCCCCCCAAACACTATTCGACATTGCCTCAAATCGTACCCAATATCTCTCTTCTTTGAAAGAAATCTCATTCATCCCCACTCACTACTCCTCTACGAACCCCTCCACGCACTCCACCTATAACAAACACAACACCAACGACGCCCTCCTGCGCGCCCTGATCGCCGGCTCTTTCAACCCGCAAATCGCGCGTATCCAGCTCCCCGACAAGAAATTCGCCGCAGGCATAGCCGGTGCCGTCGAACTGGACCCTTCAGCTCGCGAGATCAAATATTTCAACCAAGAAAACGGACGTGTCTTCGTACACCCATCTTCCACCCTCTTCTCCAGCCAGACTTTTCCCCACAACGCCTCCTTTATCGCGTATTTCAACAAGATGGCGACGAGTAAAGTTTTCATCAGGGATATCACGCCGTTCAATGCGTACAGTCTTCTCATGTTTGCGGGTAGAATTCAGGTTGATACACTGGGACGCGGGTTGGTGGTTGATGAGTGGATTCGACTTAGGGGCTGGGCAAGGATCGGTGTGCTGGTTAGTCGGTTGAGGGGTATGTTGGATAAGGTGCTGGAGGGGATGGTGAGGGAGCCGGGGAAGGGTATCAGTAAGAGGGAGGCGGAGATTGTGGAGGTGGTTAGGTGGTTGGTTGAGAGGGATGGGTTGGATGCTTAGAGTGAGGGTGATAGAAATCACGATGATGTAGACAAGGTCGTTGAATATATTGGGTTAGTGTTAGATATCGTATCTTCCGTCTTTGGCTCTTCTAATCTACGTCTCCTGTCCGCTATTATATTCCCATAAGACTAGAAATATGTGACTGATCAATTGCTTTCTTGATACATGTTAGTTGTGATGCTAACTTCTGTACAAACCACAGTGCGATTTTCTTTTCTGGCGAAGAATTAGGTAGGACACGGTGCGGATTGTGAGATAGAGTTTTGCTCGTGAGCCTGCTTTGGATCTGTGCGTGCGGCATGGAGTAGGTTGTCCATGATGTGGACGT